CAAACGCTACCGAGACAGAGACCCCTTCCCTTAGGTTCGCACGGTGCCCTTCTTGCCACCGGTGTCACCGCACTCGGCTGTGTGCACACCATCGCTCGCCCCGAGCTGCTTGCCGTCCTTCCCCATGGCAATCGCCCGGTACACCATGCAACGGCCGCCACGCTTCAAGGCCGTCTTGGTCAGAGCGACCGAGTGCTCGAATCTGGTCCGCTTGTGTTTCGTCACTCGGGTGAATGGCTTGCCGGGCCCCTCTGCCGCCTCGATGCGCCACGCAGCCACGTCGGTGGAGCCGTTCCAGCTGTAGTAGAGCACCTGGTCGATGAGCAGCAGCATCGGGCGCCAGTGCGGTGTGACGTTCCGCCACTCGTATTTCCTCGCCCTGTACGAGTTGGCGCCGCTCATCCAGTCGAACGATAGCAGCAGCTCGCCGTCGACAGAGACCTCCTCGACAACAGGCAGGTGGCCGGTAAAGTGCATCCCCCCCCAGCCGATGACGCCGGTGCCCTTGTCGGTCTTCTGAAAGCTCCCGTGGCACCGCGAGACATAGCGGTACTTGAGGCTGCCATCAGCACGTCTGGGGCCGCTGTAGGAGAAGACCCTTTCGGCAATTGACTTTTGCTGATCAAGCCGGTACTCAATTGCCCGTGACGCAAACCGTGTGTCAGCTCTGTCAGTATCGAAAACGCATGACCGATGAGATATGGCGGGGTTCTCTCAGTTTTGAGATGCGCTGCTTACGCTGCGGACGGGTTGCTATTATCGAAGACGGTCAGCCTGTTGCCCTTGAGCGATGCGTCATGCTGCCAAGAGAACGATGCCCTTGCGCTCTCTGCAGGAATACCCACCATCAACAGAGATAATAACACGATCTCTGATTTCCACGCAAGCCCCCAGGGCGTCCTAACTTACCGCCATTGGGAACGGTGTCTTGGGTAAAATTGAACTGGTTGAAGGCCTGGGTGCCCCCCAGCCGCCACACAACATCGCCGGTCTCCCTGTCGACCTTCAGCACGCCACTCAGATGCCTCCAGCTGATGACGATGCTGTAGTCGTCCGTGAAATCCGCCGAGTTCCTGAATGCGCATTTTCCCACACAGCACAAGACCGACATGAGGGAATGCACGATTAATGTGTGTTGCCTGACTGGTTCAAAGCGCTTACTGATGAATCAGGTCCCATTCCTCCTCATTCTGCGTATCGTCAAATGGGGAATCTGACTGCTTGATGAGCCAGGGCAGCTCGAAGTGGTCCCACGAGCGAAATTCCATAACAACGTTGTTGTGACGGTCGATCTCCTGGACGACCGCACCCACGATTTTGACTGCGGTGTCTGGGGCGCCCTCCCACATGCCCTTCACATTGATGGGCTGCGGGTCGTCGATGGTAAAGACCCGATTGCCCTCCTTGTTCATCCGCATGTCATGTGGGTCCCAGTGATAGCCTGACAAAGGGAGAGAAAAAAGCGCAGGGAGGTCTCTCTTGGTCTTGACGTATATTAGATCTTTCACTGACCATGTTCGGGATGATGCCGTCGCTCGAAGTTGAAGTGTTGGTCTTTCTCGAGCAGCCCGCCCATTCTTTGCACCAGCAGCCCCATCTTCGGCGACATTTCAATGACGCTTGCACCATTTCCCCGCGTCGCGTTCTGCTGTCCCAGGTACTCGTGATAGACAAGATCGCCATGGTTGTCCACAACCATCACTGCTGGGTGCCACACGTGGCCAAAGGGTTCCGTGTCGAAGATGCTGCAACATCCACCACGGATCATCATACATCCACCAGCCAGCCCACGCGGTTTGTGTCGTCTCAGTTTACTTGTTTGACATGAAGAAATAGCCTGGAGCAAGCTGATCATACTTGGGCTTCCCCCGAACCCGCATCCGTGGCAGATAGTCGGGGATGGTCTTGTAATAGTTGTAGGGCGCCTCGTACCTGCACGGGTGAGCCATTTCACGTGTGATGTGTGGACGCTGCTCTCTCTGTGAGTGTGTGGTTGGCTGCTTGGTACCACCCCTCCTCCATGTCAGCCACAGGGGGTGGAAGGGGAACTTGACCAGCCGCATCCTTCGGGGGCCATCGGCCGATTTCCGATTCGTCAATATCGTCGG